GGGGTGCAGGCACGCTTCTCTGTCAACCAGTTGACAATGTAATTCTGGGGAGGGCCATGATGATGTCCCGATTATCGGGTGAATCCATTATACCACATGCGAATGAGAACAACTTACCGCCTGGCTCTAATCCAGGCGTGCTCATAAGCCGTGCAAGACAGTCCCCCACTGTGTTGTCACCTTTACCCGTGACAACGTACTGCGTGATTTTCATCTCCCTACTTTGTTTGCTCAAAACTTCCACCAGATTGTCCATGCTGCTAGCAACAGCACCAGGCGTTGCTCGCTTGCGCCGTTTTGGATTGGCTGATCCGTCCACGGCTGACTGGGGGGGAGCATCCTCAAATAGGCTACTATCAACCACATTCTCCCCGACAGTGTCATGGCCCCGTTGTGGTGGTGTGTCAGCACTGAGAGGTCCCATCCCGCTATCCACGTCCATGGCATTGGTCGCAGCAGCAGCATCATCTTGCATTTCTGTTGGAGTCCATGCATGTTTCCCAGTCGCTGTTGCGCCAGAGTACACCCGCTCCATGAGATCCACGTGCTCCAGCGGCTTAGTCCTGAATTTAGCACATCGGCTGTTCATCTGTGAAGGAGAAAACACATATTTTTACTACAGCTTGAAATGTAATTACAAAACAATAAATGTAACTCAATAAAATAAAAGTTTTGTGAAAACATACAGCTTGCATTTTCGCCCACCAATGGTCAGGTGCAGTGATCAAGCCTGTCTCATGGTCGTACCCAAGCCCTGTGAAGCCGTGGCTGGCATTCTCCAACTTCTTCCAGGCGACCCAATCTTTTTTCAAGTTGTCAAACTTGTTTTTCATTTGTTTGGCTGAATGTAGTAGGCCGATTTTCTCTAGAAATTTGTTTGCTACGTTCTTATACCCTGCCATGGACAATCCGCACGGTTGTCGATTACCACCTTCCATTTCAGCAATGATGAGTTGAAGAAACAGCTTCGTATTGTCGCTGTCGAATTGGCATTTGTGGACTGGCTTGGGTTAGGTTGCCTTTGCAGCGTTACCTCGATACTTCGAAGGCGTACGGGGTGATGTTCGGTTTGTTGCCATGAGTTGTCCTGTCCTGCTTGTAACATTTACAATTTAATTATTACAAAGAAATGAAGTACAGTACATGTAGTTTGCATGGCGAGAAGTGAAATAAAAGTGTAAACACGATTAAAACACATAAGCACAAAACAGTACAACACTTTTCGAAAGACAATGTTCATTTGTACTACACGTTGGGGAAATCTTATGTAATAGGACCAAAACATCTAACTGACGGCAAAGTATGCATGTGATACAGAAAGTAACTAGGCCGTTCATATCCATGTCAATACATCACATGTGAAACAACAACACCAAAACAATGACACACAAAAAACCGACGACAGTCCTAAGCATACGTAGGCTCTGATCTATGCGCGCAACGTCCGCTCGTAACCCCTGATCGACATCATTATGTGCCTGGTCAGCACGCAAACTGGTGCTGCGAAACTCGTCACACCAACCAACCCACGACACACATCTCTGCTAGACAAAATTGCAGTAGATAGTTAGCATGCATACTATACGACACAACCACAAATGAATGACGAGTTTTGTGACTAAGTGCATAAGAGAGTGGCAACACAAACGCACCGTAGTTCTAGGACAAACGTAGAATGCACGACCAGGGTTTTTGGCAGATCTTGATATCTTTACAACGCAGTGTCCAAACCCACAATCACACATCCTTGGTGGCCAGGCTGAAGTGGCACTTGACGTGGAGGACGCAATCTGTATATTCATTTGGTTTTTTTGTTCATGTTATAAAGTGAAGTAATACAATCTACTGTGCGGAATGAAAGACAGTAACTGAAACAAGTTCATTTTGAAACTTAAGGCATAAATAGTTGAACATGAATGCACTTTGAATTTAGGTTAATACTTGAACATGAATCCACTGTGATAGATCATGGAATTGCTAATGGAACTTCAGGGGAAGCATAAAAGAACCTTTTTTGGAGTTATTGAAGGAAAGTGAAAGGAACAGGAAGAAAAAGAATTACTATTTGAAACATTGTCCACAGTAATTTTAATAAAAGAACCTTGGAGTTGTTAAAGGAAAAAGGAAGGGGAAGACAAAAAATCATGTGAAACGTGTTCCACATTAAACATGTAACTGGTACTAGATAAAAATGTAGTTAAACTTCTTATAATTAATGCTATATAGCTTTATGACCCCTATGATAAGAACCAAGTTCATTGTATGATTATCCACCCAAAAAAAAAAAAGAACTTCATTGTATGGTAGAGTATTGATAATTCTTTGACTTAACAACATTTAAAAACCAAAAAAATTTATAGACTTATATGCCGATACACGACTAAATATATAATGTGGATATCATTAGTAATGATAATTTATCAGTGATAGAAAAAGACATTTAGTGATTTTTTGCAACTCAGTAGATATGATGTATATGTAGTTGGAAAAACTCTATCGTCATTAGTCATACAAGAAAAGTCAGACATGCATAGTCAAAATTATGATTATAACTTAATTAGTAAATCTAGTACTTGACAATATTAAGCCTCCCATGGTTATTTATCATTAAATAATATAAATTTCTGATTTTATCAATAGCCTTAAACAATTTGGGAGTGTTTCCTATCCACTTGCTAATGCTTCCCAAAAAAAATTCAGCACCACATTGTTGAGACTTGTTCTTGGGTTTGACAAATGTAACAAGCATTACATATTTTGCATTAACCTATACGTGTATAGAATTATTAAAATTTAAAACAAAATTTTAAATTTTAAATATGTAATTGCCGAAACAGACTGAATAACTTTAATTTAAAATTTTGTTGGGACATTAGTTGATATGAAGATTGGAATGATTAATTGATTAGTACTTTATATTATTTTACACCATTGAGTATTTAACAATTGTGACACAATGTAAATTGACAGTATGAAGCAACAGCAGTGGTGTCCAACATCATGAAAGAGTGCAACTTTCATATACCTAAGAACTTCAATAAATGTCTGATGGCATTTATTGGGCAGGGCACTATGTGGGACTCTTAAAATCATATATGTATGCTTAGCTAGGCTTTCCAATTTTTTATCTATTGCAAACTTCTTATTTTAAAAAGTTGGAAATGAGGCTCCAAAATTAATTAAATTGGACCAAGTCACATGTGGTTGTGTCCAAATATTTGATATTATTTTAACCATATCTTTGATTTGGATGAAGCTGGAATATGAGAGGATTGTGTGTTGGGATTCTTAAGGTTTGCTTTAACCTAAATAGGTTTGGTCCCACTGAAGTTCACATGTTTATGTACTTACATGTTGCTAAGTTTTACAATATTCTGGAAATTTTGAATTAAAAAGGAAAAAAACATAAAAAATAAAAAAAGAACTAACAGAGCTAGCATGAAATTTTAGTACCTCAGTCGGAGATAGGATTTCAAATTTCTCCACTTCTCTGTATATTTATTTGTTAGTTCGTCAGTCAAATGGCCAAAAAAAAATTTTAGTAAACTACGGTTTCCAAATTTGTCAAGTTTATGTGATCAATTTGGCCAATTTTCCAAAAACAGATATCAGACTTCTAAATAACAGCAGTGGAGAAACCACAGAGCTTATGTACAATACACAACAAATGAGAGCCTATTCTTACATTTTCATTTTGTTCTTTTTATGTTCAAAAAGCATAAACTCCTAATCATGTAATCTAATTTGCTGAGTACTTCATTGCCTAAACTTACCAACAATATTAATCCATAATGTAATCCATGGAAGCAGCCGATGAAAGAGGCTGATTGGAAGCATAAAACAATGATCAATTCTGAACCCAAACACAAATCGGAATTGGGGCAAAATAAGCTCATTGAAGTCACAACATGTGTATCTTTCCACTTGCATATCAAGTGTTTGATATGCAACCACAACAGATTTTTGCATACATAGGAGTCGTAAACCACAGAAAAAAATTCACCAAGGAGTCACAAATCACAGAACGATGTGCTCAAAGAGTTATATATGAATTTCTACAGATGATCTATATTATATATATATATATATATATAGATCTATATATATATGTATACACTTCAGGTGTTCTAAGTATACACTTTATATGATTTTTTTTTTACAGATACATATCTCTCATATGTATACACTTCATTGCCTAAACTTACCAACAGATTTTTTTTTTTTGGTCAATGATCTAATCTACAGGTGTTCTAAGTACAGAAGATGTTGGTGTTGCAGATCTAATCTGTAGGTCCTCCAGAAGATGAAGAACTCGTTCAGTTTCGATTTTGGGTCCGTAATACACTTGCGAGAAGATAGTAATGGAAGATGGTTATCGGCGTACCTGATGGTGCAGATCCGGCGAAGGCGAGGACATGGACGACGAATCCGGCGGTTGCTTCGGCGGGGGACGGCGAGGTCGTTGGTTGTTCGACGAACTTACAGTTTGTATCGCTTGAAAGAGGAGTATACAAGATGAGAAGCAGGTCTTTGAGAGGCAACTGTGAATACGTTTTGCCCTACCTACCAATTTATGAGATGTGAGGGTAGTTTCATAAATGGAAGAGCTGCGTTTCCAGCTCTTCCCAAATGGTGGTTCTGCGTTTTTGAACACTTGGGCATTTTTTTTCTTGGACCAAGAACGCAGCGTTTTTCAATCTTCCCAAAACGGCACTTAGATGATGACAGACTCTCTATTTGAACAAAGTTGTACTCTTGAGAGGGTTGATCTTAATTCAAATAGAAAAATTCTTGGATAATTGATATCCTTGTAAAGAATAGAGTTTCATGAAGTAAGACTTTTAGGGGAAATTAGACACTTATCATTATAAAAGTAAGGCATCCCAGGGGTTTGTTATTTATTTTGTGAGCTCTTGATTTGAGTTGATATCTTATGACATAAGTTACTGACTGTAGACACCCCATTTTTGACCATTCGCAAGGCTCGGGTGCTTTGTCCAGTACACTCGATAATGAAAGTGGCATTGTGCGTGGTTCGAGGTCTCAACGAAGGGGTTATGTTTAAGCTCCAAAACAATTCCAAACCTTCTATATTCCCACAGTTTGTACCTCAGAAATCCATTTTTATACATTTTGCTACCCTATGCTGAGTCTGAAGCAAAGAGGCAATGGATCACATTGAGGCCTGGCCGTGCCTCATTGGGAGCTGGCCGTGGCCATTTATGGCCGGCCGTGCCTTGGTAGCGAGAAACACTGTTCTGGGCGGAAGCCCGCCAGCTATCTATTGTTAAAGATATTTATGACTTATTTTGCTCAAATTCTATAAAAATGAAGTTGTATCTCTGTTTTGAGGGTTGAACAAATTCTAAACAGCTTATACACCTTCTTGGGAGCTCCTTTTCTTGTGCAAGCAACCTTTAAGCAAGCGTACCACCTTTAACTTATATCCATACATGATATACACCTTCACACCTTAGCCTTAGAACCTTGGTTGTGCCTTGAGCATCACAATTCAAGCTTGAGAGTGTGTTTGGATCAAGTTTGATTCACAAACAAAGAGTTTACCTTTCTTGAGAGGTATAAGCTTACTATCTCTTCTCTTGCTCTCTTTGCTATCTCTTGCTATCTAGTTCTTGTATTTTTGTATTGTTTTGATCCTCTTTTAAGTGTCTAAGCTTGGGTTTGTGTAACGGCCCCAAAAGACGTGGCAAAATTACCTTTATTTTCTTATGAGTTAATGTGATTTAATTTGAAAGTCTCTGTCGAATTGGAAAAGTATCTATTGGGATTACGACTCTAACACTGAAATTGACAGCCTTAATGGGTTCAGAAATCGGAATTGAGTATATGGATATGTTAATAGGAATTTTTAGATCCATTTGGGTAATTTAATTAAAAATTGATTTTGTCTGATTCGTAAAGGTGTGTTTGGCTCTCA